CACCCTAGTGCGTGTCCCGTGTAGCCGCGCTGCACGGGGTTCGAACCAGCGGGGTTTTAAAAATGGCGGCTCCCCGCTTATGCAAATGAAGCCCGTGAAATTCAAATCCCGGGCTTCATTTGCAAGTGCTTCATTTGCTTCATTTGCAAGTTCGAACTAGGAGGGTAGTGTAGACATACCCCCAAACTGGAGTATCATCCATGTTTGTGGGGAGAATGCCTGTCAAAATTCAACCCCCAACATATTATTGTCCTAAATTCCACATCAAACCAACTTTAATAGCAGATTTTGCTTATTATTCACCCTATTTCTATCATAGAAGTTTAACTAGTCAGTAAGCCTTGAGGCAAGATGCCTAACCAGCAATCTAAACAAAACACAAGCAAACTAGAGAGACATAATGATCAAATCATGTCTATATGGCATTGGGTAGGCATGTGGTGAGCTGAAAACTCAATTTTGGTAAATTTTGTTACCTCATCCTCCCACCCTATGACATCCTGTGTTTTATCTTGTCAACTTATTGCATCCCACCTGAAACCTAGACTGTAAGTTATCAAGTGAAGGGAATGGCTTACAATTTGCTTTTAGAGCACTTAATAGAGTGGTACAGTGATTGAAGTTTTGACTGCAACTATAACACATATAAGAAAAGAAATTGAAACAAGTCAGCTAGCTTCATTTTCTAGTTTTAGATGGTATTTAATGCCTTTTATTCCATATTGCTAGAAAGGTACTAAAGCTACTAGGCCAGATCTTCTGTTCTTCTAACATTTCTTGCTTCTACCAAAGTAGACCATAAGGATGAAAATCCTGCCTTATGGGCAGCTGAAAATTCCCAGCTTTAAGTCACAGAATTTTCTTTCCCCCTCTACTACAGTAGGGAGAATTTTAGGAGGAGGGATTGTAGGTATATATCAGGCTGTGGTAATCCTGGTCTGGCAAATTGGTCCCTGGAGTATAATTCTAGCTGATGAAAGTTAAATCAGTCCTGTGACTATTGTAACTTGTACCAAAGAACAATTCAGCCAGCGGCTGGCTTCCAAAACTGGGGAGGTAAAAAGGCAGCATAGAGGAACCATTGCATCACCCTGTGAAGTAGGCCAAAGCAATCCCTATACAGCAGTTAGATCCCACTTAAATCCTATTTTGAAGACATAGATGATGCATAGACTTTGTGCTGACCCGCTACAGGGGGGTGTATTTTATTTTCTAGATTCTTATGGGATACTTTATGGCTACCAACTTAAACCTTTCAAGGAGCTGCCCAAGAAATTCAGGAGATGTTAGCATTTTTCCTGCTTTTCTGCGTGACAGTGACATTTCCTGTTAATTTCATCTGCTCTCTGAGCTCTTGGAGCCAAAAAAATTCTGTGGGAGGCAGAATGATATCATTTAGTCATAGCATAATTTTTCAGCTGCTAGAACAAGACATATTGTGGCATATTCTTCACTACTTTTAAAAAGTGGTGAAATATAAACTTAAGGTGATATCAGTTTTATTTTTACACATGTGGGGGTTATACACTGCCTTTTGCAGTGCTTGGATATAAATAGAAGGTTTAAGATTACATCATTCCTCCTCCAACAAATATTTTTGCTCTAAGATCTAAGCATAGGAAATTACCCCAACCCAGTAATGATACTCACTGTTTGCAGTTGTCATAATAGCATAACTCAAAGGTGAAATTAAAATATAACTTGATGTTGCTATTGATCTTAGAAATCTTGTGCACACTAAATATCATCTTCGAGAGACTGTCCCTGGGAAAAAAATGAGGTGTTTTAAGTACAGGGTATCAATGTTAGTGATTTAAAAATAAAATGTAAGCAGAATGACTAAAATCACTCCCCTTGAGAGTAAACAGATTTAGAACTAGTAATCATCACAGAGGTCACAATAAACAGAACAAACTGCTGCATCACTAGCTCTGCATGTTAGAGCCTGGGAGAGAACAAAACCGGTGTGTCTCTTTATTCAGGTCTCCCAAAGACCTACCAGCAGTTGGTAGTTTCTCTAAATAGTCTTTCATTTTATTTTGTTGCATTTACCCCAGAGTGTAATGAATTTAGGTCTGATTAATGTATAGAACATTAAGAAAAACCTAGGAAATTTGTTGAAAGTGTGAATACAATAAGGCAGGAATCGTTATAGATTTTTATTTTCAAACTTTCATGAGGAACTTATATCATGGGGCAAACTTAAAAAAAATAATATCTATGCTGCTCATAGCTTTTCCCTTGCCAGTACTGAAGATATTTATATCTCAGTGAATTTCTCCCTGTACTAGGAAATACTGGCTCTTTAAGTCCAGAGGAAGCCAGAAGCCCTCATTCCAGAAACGTAAGAACATAAGAACGGCCATACTGGGTCAGACCAAAGGTCCATCTAGCCCAGTATTCTGTCTGCTGTCAGTGGCCAATGCCAGATGCCCCAGAGGGAGTGAACACAACAGCTAATCATCACATGATCCCTCTGCTGTCATCAATGTCCAGACAAACAGAGACTAGGGACACCATTCTTACCCATCCTGACTAATAGCCATTGATGGACCTAACCTCCATGAATATATTTAGCTCTTTTTTGAACCCTGTTAAAAGTCCTAGTCTTCACAACATCCTCTGACAAAGAGTTCCACAGGTTGACTGTGCTCTGAGTGAAGAAACACTGGGATGAACAAAAGTGCAGGAAAAGGCCAAAGTTGGAAAAGAGGAAGCAGTCTCAGGGAATTAGTAGTTGGATAAGAAAAACACAGGACACTGCCCTTGTTAAGAGCCGAGGATCAGAAGCCCTTTGATGTAGGGAAGGGCAGGTTTTCCATCTCTTTCAGCCAATCATGAGGGAATTGCCAAAGGAGGACAGCACATATACTACCTTCTCCCTCAAACGAGGAGAAGGAATCCATAAGACTCAGCTCCATATAGAAATGGGTGCGAGTGCCAGTTCTGCGAAGAGTAGATTGTGGTAGCAGAAGAACTCCTTATCTGGTAGAAGAGACAGAGCCAAGTATGAATCTTTGAACTTTATCAGTGGGACTTTAAAAAGAACTGTTTCAATTATTAAATTGCCCCAATGGAAGAGGAGAGAAAAGCCACAGAAGAGGCTGTGAGAGGGCGGGGAGAGAGGAGGAAGGTCCCTGAAGAAAGAAAACAAAGTCAGGCATAGCAGGACCATCTCTGGACATGAGAAGGGTCTGAGGAAATGATTTCCCTGGTGTTTTTTCTCTGAATTCAGCTTCCTTTTTGGCTTGAAACAGAAATTATTCTAAACTGGTTTGTTTACAATCTTGCAAGAAATTTTTTATGGGTATAATTGTGATGTCTCAGATTTAACTCTGACATTTCCTGTCCTATTCAGGAGCATTGACTTTGCTGAAGATGACAGATAGAATGAGCTGGGTGAAGTGACCAGTCAGACCACCTGGACAAATGATATAATTGACCATGCAACTAGGTCACCTTGGTAATAGAGTAGATATAATATGGTGAACCATGTGGGATGGTCCCTCTGTGTAAGGTTGATTTGCATTTTTGGCTCACTCTAGTATCAAAACAGAAGAAAGAATGAGCAGGTTGGAGGAGGGGACCTTTTTTCCCAGTAAAGGCAGAATTTGTTTTTCATTTGAATTCCTTTGGGTTAAAGTCAATTTGTGTTCATAATGCTGCCAGGTGCACTGGCAATGGGACAAAGACAGATCACTTGTCTTGCTTGCTGCTGCCCCTTTAGAAAAGGTGTGTTGAAGCAAATCAAAACAGAAGAAAGAATGAGCAGGTTGGAGGAGGGGACCTTTTTTCCCAGTAAAGGCAGAATTTGTTTTTCATTTGAATTCCTTTGGGTTAAAGTCAATTTGTGTTCATAATGCTGCCAGGTGCACTGGCAATGGGACAAAGACAGATCACTTGTCTTGCTTGCTGCTGCCCCTTTAGAAAAGGTGTGTTGAAGCAAGTTGCCATTTGTGGGGCATTGTGTGCTGCTGGCAGTATGACTATTCTCTTGCAGACAGCCACATCTCTGTTGACTATGACAATGGAAGCAACCGAGTGGGGGGATGGTTCCTGCAGCACTTACATTTTGGAGTTTATTTTCTTGATGACACAGAAGTATAGGACTGAAGAACATGGCATTAGACCTTTAGGACAGTCCCAGGTTGTAAACAGAGCTCTGCCAATACATTTTCAATAACAGTACAAATTTAATTTTGTTCTGTTTGTATTAGTAATATAATTCCAAAAGCAAACAGCCATGCTCTTTGACTGTTAGAGCTAGGGTTTGTTTTTTTCCTCACTCAGAAATTACATCATTAAAATAACTCAGCTGCAACTGTCATTTAGTTATCAACAAGTGAGTTAAAAATGTGGTGTCAATGACTTAGCAAATGTCCCTACAACTCTCAAGCATGGTGTGGCCAGGTCCCTGGCAGCTGTGTAGTCTAGTGGCTAGGCTGCTGAGTAAGTAGGCAAAAAGGGGAGGGGGCCCTGTCCCCCTTGTGTTCCTGGCCCAAGAACTCCAAACCTCTCCCTATCCAAGTCCTTATGTTTAGGGTGTGGCCCCAAGAGTCCAGATTCCCATTATTTGGGGCCTTTTAATATGTTCCCCCCTTTCCCCAGAGGGGTTGGGGGCTTAATTGCTCCCCTGGATGCTGAGCTGGCAGGCTCTGGTTCATGCCCTTAGACTGCTAAACCAGGCTGCTGCTTCCTTGCTAGGCAGCCCCAAACTGAGCCAAGCTCCTTCCTTTCTCCTCCCTCCAGGCCTGGCATTAGCTGCAGGTACAGAGGGATGGAGCTAGCTGGGCCCAAAGCTTTCTTTAACCCCTGTGGTGCCAGGCCATCCTTTCTCTATTCCCACACGCATAAAAGAGGAGGGGAGAATGATTGGTTTCATATTATCGTGATATGTTAGCCCTTTTTAATATTAAAGACTCAAATTCAACATCTGCATATAGAAGTATAATGTATGTATGATGACATATTCCCCAGCCATTAGCTAAAGTGGTAGCACTACTGGTATAGTCTCAAGATTTCAGATATCTGAACTAATCATGCTTCCAAACTAAAATGTCAATCCTGAACTTTGGGTATGTTAGAAATCAGAATCTGGATGCAGATAGCCCTTATCCTTATGATTCACTGGATACCTCTGAACTCCCAGGTTTTCAAAATATGGATTTAAGAGATAGATTTTAAAAGTTCACATGACATCTAGGCACCTAATTCCCATGTACCTAACTGCTATTTGGGCCTTTGAAAATCCACCTCTGGATCTCATTTTGTGACATTAGTCTGTTTAGATAGAATCATGCATAAAGTACAAATTTATTTTTTATTTTAAATACAACATTTACATTTTAGTATTTATTGAAATTGTTGATATTCTTCAGAGTTCTTCAGTTATTGCCTGTGAATTACACTATTATCTTCAATAAACAGAAGCACACAGACTATATTCTATGTGGGCAAACTGTACCCACTAACCTTTTAATACTTTACCCTTTTGTACAAAGACTGAACATTATTTGA